GCTGGCCGCGGGCAGCTGCGTGACGGTGCCGCCGCCGCCACCGCCGCACACGGTGAGACCGCGACCCCAGGCAGGGCGGCTTTGTCCCGGGCAGAGCGGGGTCCGGGACGCGATTCCTGGGGAGTGGTGGGGGCACTGGGCTCCGTGGCCGGTGCGGTCGCCGCCGCTGTAGTTGCTGTCACGGCGTGCGGAGGCGAGTGTGGCCCCTGGTCGAGAGCGGGAGAGAGCGGCCCGGGATCGACACCGCGGGTGCGTCATTGGCTCCGGGGGCGCCCCTCTCCCGGGGCTGCCGGGCCGGTGGGTGTGCTAATCCCGGGGCACCCCGCCGGCTGTAGAGTTGCTGCTCCGCCGGGCCCGATAGCCAGCAGCTACGGGACGGGAGCAGAACGGTGCTTGCTGATGCCCGGGGCAAAGCGGATGCCTGGGGCTGCTGCAGGAATGGGGAACCCAGGGCAGCGGCCCAGAGCAGGGCTTCCTCCGGGACCATGCTGCCCTTTAGCTGCCCTCCGCTTGTAAGTGCGGCCCGCCCGGGCCGGTGCTCCTGCTCGTCTCCAGCTCGGTCCAGTGTGATCCCTCCTTGGGGCTCTCGGGGWCCCAAGTGTCGCTGCCGGTAGCAGGGCTGCAGCCCCCCCGCACGGCACGGCACGGCCCCGGCGCCGCTGACTCACTACCGGGCACCCGAGGCTGCTTCGCGCCTCGTCCTCCAGGGGCCCGGGAGTGCCGGGACGGGTCCGGCTGCATCGCGGGGGCCCCGCTGTCCCCGGGAGCAGGCAAGGGGAATGGTGTCGAGGCGTCTGCGGCCGAGTCCTGGCCGGGGGAGCCTCCCTGAGCTGGGGCCACCGCCCCTCCCGGCGGAGCGGGGCGCCTCGGCGGGAGAGCGCTGCGCCGTTTCAGCACCGCGGACAGCGCCGGCCCCGCCGCCCCGGCCCGGCCCCCGCTGCCGCCGTCCCTGGGGTCTCCCCTGGCAGRGGGGTCCTGTGCCCCGCACTTGCGTGGCCTCCGCCCCGGGGGATACTGACCCGTGGGTGCCGAGGTTCGGGGACCCCCATCCCCACTAGCCCCCTTCCCCCGCGGAGGGCTCGACGGGCCCCTCCCTCCCCTCCCCCCGGTTGTTTTCTCGTTCCTTCCTTGCCATCCGGGGCTGAGTCATCGCCTGCTGCCGTCTCGCTGCTGACGGTCTTGGACCGAGACGGGGGGGGGGAGAGGAAGGGGGAAGCCGCCCCCTGCCCAAGTGCTGCCCCTCGAAGGGGTTGGAGAGGCACACACCCCCCACCCGCAACACCGCTACATCCATGCTTTGGGGTCCGCCTCGCAGAGAGAGTGGATCCCGATGTCACTGGGTTGCATCCCTTCCTCGTAGTACCACATGTAGGAGGGCAACAGATGCGGTTTTGCAGGTCTCTGCTGCCTCAGTCTTACCTTCCTAACTGTCAGCACCCCAAAAAACTCCAGGCCTTCTCTGCTCTCCAGAGCCAAGGGCATACTCTCTATACAGCCCCATCTTGTCTTTGAGGGGCAGAAAATACTGGCACCGAGCCTCTGCCCTAGGCTACAAAGCTGTGTTCCCTCCCACCATCACCACATTGCATACCTGTGCCGCTTTTCTGGAGTGTAGGGTTCCCCCAAGCAGCTGGAGATGAGCAAATCCCACTGGAGCCCCCCCTTGGATGCTATGCTGACTGGCCTGTCTGTCTGTCTGTCTGTCTGTCCCAGGCTGCCTGTTTGACCGGAGGCTGTGCTCTCCGCAGGAGGTGTGCGTGCAGGGTAAGCGGCTAGCAGGGGTGCAGGGATCCCCTCTCCCTTCCCAGGTGGGTGTGGAGGGTACAGGGGTGCCTTGCAGGTGAACTTAGGATGCAGTGAGGGGCGACTGGTCAGGGGAAAGGTGGAGCTGTGCCTGGAGACCCTCACATCAGGGTGTTTGTTCATCCAGTCCTGCTGCCTCCTCTCTCTTGCAGATGGGCTGTTTGGGCAGTGCCAGGTGGGCTCTGTGCAGGACAGACCCTACTTCCAGGTCACCTCTCCCGTGCTCCAGCGTCTGCAGGATGTCTTGCGGCATCTCATGGCACAAGGTGAAGGGGAGGAGCGTGGGGGAAGTTGCTGCAACCCTGTGGGGAGGGGGTGTCGGGTGGAATTTCCTAGTGGCACTAGGACTGGCTGAGGTCCTGCTGGCCCAGGGGCCAGRGTGGGCCAAAAAGGGTGATCCTGGGAGAAGTGAGGTCAAACCCAGGCTGTGGAACACAGGGTCAGAACATCAGGACAACCTCCTATGCACCCACACCATGGTTCCCAGCCTGCCTCTGTGTCTCACTGTCTCGTCCCGTAGCAGGGCTCTCGTGGCAGGACGGCATCACCCAGTATGTGATCTCTCAGGAGATGGAGCGCATCCCGCGCCTCCGCCTGCCGCCCTCACTGGAGCCCGTGRCCAGGGACAGGTGAGAACAGCCCAGCAGAGCAGTGAGGGCTCTTCCTCCCCAGTGGGGTTTAGGGAGAGACCTCTCCCTTACCCAGTTGAGTCACCCCTGTGCTGTTTGCCTTTGAGGTTCCTGCCTGTCCGCAGCGAGCCCCGGCGAGCTCCGCTATCCCCAGAGCCTGGCCTGCCAGCAGCTCAGCATCTGGAGCAGCCCCCACCACTGCTGCTTTCCCCACTGGTGCAGCGGTACCTGGAACATGTCCTGCTGCCCTCCTCACCCCAGCTGGGCTACGAGGAGGCTCTGCTCAATCCCTACTTGTACCACAAGGTAAACTGGGGGCTGAGCACCTTCTCCTGGGCAGAAAGGTAGAGACRGGCAGGCAGCTGCTCCACTCCAAGCACCTTTCTGCTGGTGCTGGGGTAYCGCCTGCCTCCACCATGGGGTGACAAGGGACCTGTGGGGTTTGACACRCGTTTTGGTTGCAGTTCGGCTATCAGGATGGTGCTCACCAACATCTCAGCGGCTCAGCCAGGCAGAGCTCTGACACCTCCTCGCTGCTGGGCCGGGTTCCTGCCCAGACCCTTTTTGGGGCTGGCCCTGTGCCCTCCTATGGTGGGCAGCCAGGAATGGATGGGGGACATCTCTTCCAGGACTTGGGCATGCTTTCCCTGCCCAGAGAGAAAGCTGGCCGCCCAGACTCTGCCAGCACCAGGCTCCAGCACAGCTTGCGGCTCCCCAGTGACTACAGAAACATGGAGGAGAGGGAGCAGCAAGCACCTCTGGCTGTCCAGCCACCCTCTGCACAGACGGGTACCTTGTTCTCCAGCCAGGCACCAACCCTCGTCCCTATCCTTTACCCAGAGCCATGTTCCTCGTGGCTCACACTTTCCCTTCACTTTGGCTTTATGCCCATGAGCAGCATATACCTGCAACCCCACCTGCCCCACCTGCTACATMCCCTGGCCCCTGGTCTCTGTGCGGATGCAGAGCATCCAAACTGATGCTACATCCTCTTGCAGATGCTGCCCTGAAGAGACTGGCTTCCCTCCTGGCCAGCTATGGCCTGGGGCTGCCAGAGC